CATATGGTGCCAAAGGCGACAGCAAGCGACTGGAGACCCTGTGCGACTATTAAGCCCTCAACAGCGCTACCATTCCTTATCGCTACTCCGTGCCTCATCTTCAGGACTTTGCTGGAACCCTTTAAGGGAAGCAGTTTTCTCGAAGACTGATCTGGTGCGTGCTTTTCATCAGATTTCAGTCGTTCGTGGGGACATCTCTAAAACCGCCGTTACCACAACCTTCGGTCTTTTCGATTTCATCCACATTCCGTTCAGTATTCGTAATGCAGCCCAAACGTTCCACAGGTTTATCGACCATGTATTATGTGGTCTACCCTTTGTGTACGCCTACACTGATGTCCTCTCGGTAGTCAGTCGGACTGCGGAAGAACACAAAGAGCAACTTGCCTTGGTGTTTGACCGCCTTGACAAGCTTGGCGTTGTCATCACCCCCTCCAAGTGCGTATTGGGTGTGCCTTCAGTCGAGTTCCTCGGCCATCAAACAGACTCTGAAGGTTTGCGTTCCCTCCTCTCTAAGGTTAAAGCAGTTCGTAAATTCTCTCCTCCAACTTCCAAGCGTCAGTTGCAGCGATTTCTCGGCATGGTCAAATTTTTACCGCCGGTTCCCACCGAACTGTGCTGACCACATGTTGCCGCTCACCAAAATGCTTTCTGGTCTCAAACGTCTTCTCGAACTAAATGGTGACGCACTGACTGCTTTTGAGAGAATATAGAATTCCCTTGCTAACGCCAACTTACTCACCCATCCGGCTCCCGAAGCTCCGCTGTCTCTGATGGTAGATGCTTTGACCGTAGCTGCAGGTGCAGTCCTCCAGAAACACCTTACTGGTCCAACTCAACCTTTTTTTTCCAAAAAGCTCTTACCAGCTGCAGCGCCAAAACAAGTCCCCACCAGGCACCTTCCCCAGTCCCGACGCACGGTTCAGCCATGTCCACCTGAATGTCGTAGACACCTTGCCTCCATCCAGTGGTTTCACCCACCTCCTTACGTGTGTTGATCGATATACCCGCTCAGCTAAAGCTATTCCTTTGTCGAATGGGCAGGCTGAAAACATCGTGAAGGCCTTCGTCAGTTGTTGAGTCGCCATGTTCCATGCCTCATCCACGGTTACGACTGATCGTGGTGCCCAGTTTGAGTTGGCACTCTTCCAACCGCTCCTCGTTTCCTTGGTTGCACACGCATTCAAACGGCAGCCTACCACCGAGCCGCAAACGGTATGGTTGAGCGTTTGCATCGCCAGCTAAAAACCGCCCTGCTTGCCTTAGAAGACGCTGAAAACCGGCCAGAGAAACTTTATCTTGCACTCCTCGGCATCCGCGCAGCTCTGATGTCGGATCTGGGTTGCAGCGCAGCTTAATTGGTTTTAGGCTTTACGCTCTGAGCGCCAAGCCAGATGGTCACCCCAAACTCTCGTGGGGTCGACGAGACCCCTTACAACCTTGTGCACCAATTGCGGCAATTTATGCGTTCGCTTCCTCGGTTCCAACTTGAAATCCAATTAATAAGTCTTATGTGGAGAAAGAATTTGACAACTGTACTCATATGTTCGTCCGGTGTTTCCGTGTGCGCAAGCCGCTGGAATCACCATAGGAAGGACCGTTCTGTGTGCTCGGGCGCAACGCCCAGACCTGCCGGATTCTTCGCGGTGACATCAAGGACGTGGAAAGTGTCGATCGGGTCAAGGCTGCTGTTACAGAGGAGCCGCCGGACCTGTCACAAGGACGAAAATGGGCTGACCCCCTCACCCCTGGTCCTCCATCTTCCCTATACCCTGCTCAGTCGCGCTACCCACTGCCTCTCCCTTCCCCTCGCTTGCCCTCTACCGATCCGCCTCGCATACTTCCACTCCTTACAAGTCTACAGCATCAAACTACAACATAATCCTCCACCACAGCACGCAGTCAACCCTCTTCGGCTATACCTCCTGCTTACATCACTCACAGTGGCCGTCGCGTTTATTTCCCCGATCGTTTAGTTGCGCATTTTTTCTATTGTTATGCCTATCCTTCGGATCCGTATTACATCGCCCTCCGGTCTAGTAGGGGGTACTGTGGTCAGGTACCGGACCTTTGACAATTTAGTCCCATTTATTTTGACCGGGTTGCTTGTTTAAGTGTGACGGAAAACGACACATGTACAGCCGGCCTTGCTAGCGTGCTCCGATATTCTGTTCTGTTGTAAGTTTTTCTAACGTTATAAATCTCTATATTATTCACTGCTCAGATTTACTTACTACTTCTAAGGCTCGGGGCTCACTGGATACAACTCGTTAATTCGTGAGAACTTTACCCTCTACGACACACTTTAATTATCCTTCAAGACATCATGTCTGGATCGCGAGGCGATGTTAATAATGATCTGGGGGCGCCTATACCTTAGTATCAAGCAAAAGTCCTTAAAAATATAACTCCCAATGAAATTGTCCATTTCTGTCCAGCTAGTCAGATACTGAGGTGTAGTTTGCATGGCTTTTATATGAAAGGTCCGGCGAAACAGATGTAGTGGGCTTTCCCAATATAATTACTACTTTTCCTAGTAAACATTTGTTAGTGATACTAATTTATTTCAATAGTAGCAAGGCCTTAGACAAAGAAATACAAACGCGTCTTTTCGTAAAATAGCAAACTCTCGGAATCCAGCCTCCCTAACTCGACTTCATCTGGCCCTACTGATTAAGCCGTTATCAGAAATTAACGATTTACAATATTTACATGACGCCTTGCTCAGTCACGTTTGGCGTGTTTTAAGGCGCGTCTGTTTGTACGCCACTGTTATTTCTTTATATGAAACATATTTTGACTGAATTAAGATGACCGTTTGTATGTTTTGATATATTATTAGGACGCCGCAAACGTTTGCGATTAAAAACCAATACCAGTTTACCAAACTTGTGGAAATAAGGTTAAGCGTGGCCGACAGAGTTTTCTTCCTCCAATTGCAGCTTCATGCTTTTGACCCAGTCAAGCTATATGATCTCAAAATTTCTCAAAGCAACTAACAATAGTTTGCTCTAGCATAAGGGACCAAGGCTCGGATTATACAACTAGGCTTAATCTATCGCCCTTTGCATGGTAATAACAATACTATAAAAATAAATAAAAATTTTTTAAGGACCCGTCAGGGTCGCATCAATGCAAGTAAAAATAAATTTAAATATGAATTTAAAACGAGGTAAGCAGAAGCTGTGCAAAATGAAATCCCTAGTTTTTGAACTTGTACTTCGTTAAGAAAAAAAGATGAGCTAGCAGTGAAAAAAACTCCACGCTAGAATATAAAAAATGATTGAACTGCCTTTACTGCAGAAAAAAACTAACGTTCATAATAAAACAAAATGCGGCAGGACTGGCCTGTATGTGGCGGTGTATAACGAATTAAAATCGGACATCGTCAGGGCAGAAAAAACTGTTGGCCTTGAGGGACACGTATGCGGGTTGGATAGGACTGGTCAGCATGTGACATTGTATAAGAGATTTAGAACTGACATCTTCTGGGCAGAATTTATACGTCGGATTAGACTGTTCGCGTCAAAGAGGCCAGAAGAGAGGAACTCAGACGCACAGGGCCACAGTCCGCTACGAGCCCAGCTGAGGAGTGGGGGAGTGCGGTGCGACCAAACTACTAGTAGGCCAAGAATACACAGGGTTCCGCCATGAGCGTCGATAGACCGCTTGGGATAAAGATGAGGAAAATGACATTAAGAACCGTGAAAATCTTCGCTATGGGCGAGAAGTGATAGCAGTGGATTTAGAAACCAATTCAAAAAAGGGTTTCTAAACAAATAACTGAGGGTTTCGCGCTTGATATCCCACTAAATCTCAAAAGGACCCTTCTCGAAATCATGAAGCTGAGTGTTCGAAAATAAGACCGTTTAAAATGCCCTCATACTTTCCGGTGTAAGGTGTTTGCGTAATCTAGACTTGAATACTAGTGACTTAGGCGATGACATAATTTCTGGTGGAACATTGTTCCAAAGAAAGGCCAATTTGGCAGCAAAGGAAAGGGTCAAAGCGCGCAGCTCAATTATAAAGATAAGTGAAGCTCTGCATTTATCTGGATATTCTTAAGTAATTAATGCCTGTTTTTTTACTTGAATCCGTTCTAAAAGTCGCCTTTCTATGTAAGGTAAACATTTTTCCCAGTTTGTTTGACAGTCCAGCAAAATAGTCGTATTTTGTAAAAAATCCATTGTACTAAAGCCATTCCCTACTACCGCTTTCTAGTTTTCGTAGTTAAAAAACAATAATACTTGCTACTCAGTGCGCGTTTCCGTACATTGGCAACGTTTTGATCCTTTTTCTGTACCGAAAAACTTTTCCTGTCTGTAATGCCCCACAGAGCACGTGCTAAACGGCGAAAGCTTGCGGCCTCCCCACCGTCTCTGGGTGCTAAAATCGTGACTGAAGACATAGCAGGTGCCAGCGTATGTTCTTTGCCGTCTGCAGAT